TGACTTCTTCCTTTGGGGGTACATTAAGGATCGTNAAATTTGTACAATATGAAGAAAACTTGGTGAGTTTACGGTTCTTTGTATATATCAATCATATTTATACGTGTAATGTTTTTGAAAAATATAGCGTTTTAAAAATGAATGAATCATTTATAGTAGCCCCGTACATCCTAATTTGTGTAAGACCATAAATAACATTTCTCATATATCCCACAGACCCTTCCACGCAGCGTAAATTTCGGCACGGAAGGCGTGGGAGACTTTCACTAATTTCGCTTTAAATTCGCTTAGTGGGGGTTGGAGTCCAACTGGGTCCACTCGGCACGGCGGCCACTGATTGGCTTATTGTAGCCTGCCCCGGGTGATTATGATGATGGAAAATTTGGTGGAATGAAGATTGGCAGGGGAAACCGAAGTACNGAGAAAACCTGCCCCAGCGCCACTCTATCCACCACAAATCCCACTTGACCAGACCCGGGATCGAACACAGGACGCAGCGGTGGGAAGCCAGCGACTAACCTGTTGAGCTATGGCGCAAGACTTTCACTAAATTGTATTATTATTTCCATTTGTGAGTAAGCTTAAGAGACCTCACAATTGCCGTTGGTAATTTCTACTTTGTGAATACATCCTTTCCACATTTGTTTTCCTATAACTTCTTGTCGCACAAATATATCTATATATCCTTCCAATAAAATATATTTGTAAAATTAAAACAGTTAAAAGCATGAAACTTACATTCATTATTATTTAACAATATTCTCCGTACTTTCCGATTAAATTAAATTAAATATTATTTTACAAGGGTCAACACAACAAATTCGTGATAAATAAACCAATATTACTGCATTAACCTTCGTTTATTATATATATTTTCTACATGTTCCGATCCAGTTGGATCATCGTCAGGCAAATATTAATAAAATTTACAGTATACACAGAAGATGATACAAACAATAATGATAGACATTCTTGTTTCCGGGCCTCGTGGAACCCATCAGCATATTTTGCTGTCTCAATCTGTTGGTTGCTGATTGCCGAAAAATAAGCAATGAAATACGTCTCAGCAGTAAAACCTATTTAGAAAAATCGACATTTTGCTTCTGGGTCCCTGTTGCAAATGCCGTTGTTTTCCTTAACACACTACCTATGCAGTTCTATTTAGGGATGTGGTCCCCATAAATTACTGAACTATAATCAAAATCATTATACCCGTTTCCGAAGAAGTAGCCATTTTATCTTTTACGATCCATTTAAAGGTCCCTACTAACGCAGCTAAAATGTTGACATTCACTATAAACTAAAAAATCTCAAATGCCGAATGTTAACAAAATCCGGCCGTTAAGGTGCTAGCGAGGCGCAGATATGTACAGACATAAGCAGACTGCATTCCAGTAAACATTTTTCCATATTTAGGTAGATCGAATATTGTAAACCCCTCAAAATTCCGAGATTGGTTTTTTCACCATCACTTTGCGTGATACTTTCCCATTTATACTACTGCACATAAGAGAAAGCCGAAATTATTCAACCATTTTTCTGGATACCTATGTTCATGATATGTCCTTATATAAAATTCTGCAATTGACCTGTTTAAATTAGGCACGAATTTGCCTTCATGGTTTATTTCACCCTACCTCCACAGTCTTGCCGCACAAAACATGATCCTAGTATATAAAGTGTCGCTTTAATCACTTCACCCACCATGTTCTCACAGTCGCCATGTTTTTATTTTTTATGATAGATAATTTAACATAAGGAAAATGATACAGCCTCCAATGAATTTTTTTCTCACATAAAATTGTATGAAACACGCACACATATGAACGTGATACCTTAAGCCTGTCTTCCCTTAAACAAAGGAAATAACCTGGAAAGTTTCGGAGGGGGTCGACCCCTCCACAAGGCCCAATTCTTGAACATTACTTTCTTCAGAAATTTCCTTTGTCGACGTAACGGTGTGACCTACACTCGCTGACGTCGTCGTTCCTCGTGGTCTTCCAGCCGCTTGCTGGTACGAGACCGTGACACCAAGTTCTTTCTCCGGCAGCTGAAGGTTTCCTGGGGAGTTTCCTTCTTGAAGGCATTTCTCCAACGTCGTGCCACTGTCGCGCGACGGGATATCTTCCTGCAGGTGGCAGCCAACTTCATCCGGGATTCATAATCTCCTCGGGTCCAAGGTTTATTGAAGAGGTTCTTCCGACGCCATGCCACTGTTGCATGGTGGAACACCTTCCTGTCTAAGGTAGGCACCACTCTCCTTAGCAAGCAACTGGTCTGTAGTGGTTCTGTGCATTGAATCACTTTCCATCTGATATGGAGCTAGTTCAAAATTCTGCACATACCATTCGGCGTCGGACATTGAGGTGTTAGTGAGTGCAGTGACGGTATGAACCGTATCTGGATCGCCATCATGTTGTTTAAGGTAGGCACTACTCTCCTTAGCAAGCAACTGGTCTGCAGTGGTTCCGTGCGTTAAATCACTTTCCATCAGATTACATGTAACTGCACTGGTGTTTATGGAGTAGTGTTGGCCAGATGCTGAGAAGTATATTTCAGTACGTCCCTCCTCCATGTCCGTTAGCTGCAACTTGAGTAAGTCAGAATAGATGGCCTGGTATGTTTCCCCTAAGTACTCACTCTCCTGGATCATGAGTTGCTCCAACTCTACAGTCTCCATGTGTGACAATTACGTTGTGGCTGCAACAGTGTATTTACTCCTGCTGATCTGTTCGAAATGTCCGGGATTCACTTCCGCACTCTTACAAGTTCCGTCCACGACTGTCTGTCTAGACCTTATATAATCGCGGCTGCAACCGTCTAGCTGTGTCACTCCTGATCACACACTGACTCCTACTTGCTGCTCAGCCGGCTTTTATTCCGTTCGCTGTTGCCTGTTTCCCGTGTCAACAGCGGTTTTGCGTGCCACGTCACAGTAGGAAGCGGTGCCACGTCACAGCGGGACACTGTGCCACGTCACATTGCGGAGGGGGGGGGCGGAGTGCTGACTCACCTGCTACGTCACGCCACGCCACCGCCGGGGAGGGAAGGGGCGTCCTCCATTGCGCAACATGTCACACTATATGTGTGTGTGTGTGTGTTTGCCTCTTTTTGTACTTCAGTGAAAGATTTCAACCCTTTTCTCTCTCTCTCTCTCTCTCTCCTTTCTACTGGCGGTGAGGGACATTTCGGAAAGGTTTATCTACCTAACCCTGGAGACAGACGAAGCTCTTAACCACTGCTGGGGTTATTAGTACTGATTCCGTAATCGGGTAAGGTAAAATTGTCCCTTTATTAACTAATTAATCACTACGCCATAAACGCGCGTGGAGGAGTGGATGTATAGATCCACGTTTTCTTGACCTCGGCACTAGTCTGAGGTGAGTTGTCAACTTCACGCCCCGGCAGCTTTATCCCCGAGAAAGAGCTTCTTGGATAGGAGGTTGGGTGGACCACAGAACCGGTCTGGACAACATGGTGATGTGAAAATTCTTGACCCCATTGGGACCCCTTCTCTGTCCAGCCCGTAGCCAGTCGCTATACCGACTGCGCTGTCCCAGCTCCTCGTAATCGGGTAGAGATTAGATATAAATGAGAAAGTACCTTTTCAAGCATAATTGTGATTCAAGTTTTAAAATTCTTTGTTAACTAATTCAATGGAGTGTGGGTCCTTCTTGAGGAGCTGATAGTGACTCAGATGACCAAAAAATTCTCCTTATGTTATGGAAACTGAAAATTCATTATCGATTCAAGTTGATTTTGAGAATTAATTTAGTTAAACTGCCTGCATGCATATGTGTAAGTGCTGAAGAATATTAATTTCTAATTCTTGTAAGTGGGGTATCTGACTTTTCACACGTTCGGTCTCGATTCCTGATTAGACTTCGTAAGTTGCTTCTAAACGCTGATTTTCTTAAACTGTAACTAAATCCGATCGGCGTCAGAAGGTAAATCTCATTTTCCTGAGACTCTCATTTCTATCGTTGATGTAACCGCAGTGCAACTTGTATTGTACTCGTATTTGAGATTTTTATGAGGGTGGAAATTTAATTTATGTTCTTCTGCACTATGTCACCGATTTGTTTCGTAGGTGCTCCACAGCATTTCTGACTCTATCCTGAAGGCGAAGGCAGTAGATTCCTCCGAAACGTTGATATCACTCTACCAAACTGCATGGCATTTTTTCCCAAAGACTTTACTAACCACCTACATCGAACGTCGTACCACAGTGTCTGAATTCCCTACTTAGGATTGGAAGGTTCCAGGTTAAAATCTCGATCCAGAGACAGCCTATCCTGGCTGATGCTTGTCGTGGATTTTCTCAGACACCCTAGGCAAATGCAAGATATTTCGAAGTATGCACCAATATATAGGACTGGAGGTTCTCATAGTGGTGGTAATGAAGAGTTAGATTTTCTGGTATATATCGCCGTGTAGTCCGTCAGGAGTTAACCGACGTTTCGGAAGAATATATCGCCTCCATCTTCAGGGTCAAAGGTTAAGCCAAGCAAGAAACCAACGAGAGAGCGTGGCTACGCTTGCCACCTGTTTTCAAGCCTGCTTTCTTGCATGACTTATTCTTCGAGCCTGAAGAAGGAGGCTATATGTTCCTTTGAAATTTCAGTTTAATTTCAACGAAATATACGGCGTTATATCCCAGAAGATAGAACTCTTTCTAGCGACTCATAGTTTTCTTCCACGTCATTTCTAATTCATTATTAACTGCTCACACTATCATTCGATGGTATTTAATGTGAGCTATTGTAAGCGTCGTTAAATAAACCAAGACTAAACAAGAATGAAAGGCAGAGATTGATAGTTCCGTAACCGCAGAACATTTTCGAGTCACCAATGAACCAAGGGCAGAAAATGTATTAACTTAGATGACTGCTAACAGATGTCGGCTCTCATCACTGCCCCAGAGACATCTGCCGTCTGAAATTGGAAATGTTATGTGAAAAACTAATGAAAGGTTGTCGTATTTGAACAGTTCAATCAATCATTTTTGGTACTGAATTATATCGTATCTTATACATTAATTATACTGTATTACTGTTGTTCAGTTTTGCTTAATATATGTGAATTATTTTCATAATATCTAGCCAATCAGAGTCACTAAGAGCTGAACACGCCATCTATTTTGGTCGCCGAACACCCCAAAGACCCCCAAAGTGGCATCCATCTTGGTTGGGTTTGGGCAACGTGGAATGGACCGTGCCGAAGAAAATATTGAGTAGTCAAGTTAATTGTTTTACGGTAACTTGCGTATAGTATTTTCTATAAACAGTCTGGAGTCGTGGGCATCTTCGATGCAGGGTCAGCAAGTGCAGCAGCAAGCCCAGCATCAGCAGATTACAGGAGCCAATGTCATTCTGAAAATGAGTGATATTCAGCAGCTCTCCACAGTCGGTATGTTTGATTGGATTAAGAGTGATTGGTCATATAACTGAACTTATATGTTGGGTTATCATATTTTATGCCAAATTGTATTACCATTCAATGAAACAATATGTACTTTCGATCCAAATTTTGATAATTTCTATATAGGTATCAGTAAATGGTTTAGTTTAACCGTTGCGAGTTAATGGTCAGTAGCACAATATATATAGCGTCGATATGTATGATACTGAGGAATTAATTGGAAGGCATGAGGAAAGAAGCTGTTGCGACCCTGGTTGAGGCACTGTCTTGGCATTTGTTTGGAGAGACGAAGAAAAGCCACAATAGAGTATATGTTGTGTGGTGGGACATCCAGTTAATCTACGACATATTTATACTGTCCTTCACACCAAGTAACATTTCGTAACAATTTTTTTTTTTTTGCGGTGAGGGATTGTAGGCCCAGGCACAGTCCTTAAGCTGGAGAGCCACCCCTTGTCGCTTTTCCTCGACTGCCTATTAAATATATTCACAGCCACCTTTCTTATCTGGAGGTAACAAATCAAAATTTGGTTCATGAGGAAGTTATGAACAGATTGAATTTGGATAATGCTTGCTACAATTCAATTCAGTGACTTTTATCCTCTTGTCTGCTGGCTAAAAGGATGAAAGTTAAAAATAAATGAAACCGTAATTTTGTCTGTAGTTTTGTATTGGTTTGAAACTTAGCCTCTGACATTAGGAGAAGAACAAGTGCTCTTGCAAGTATATGAGAACAGGGTGCTGAGGAGAATATTTGGACTGAAGAGGGATGAAATTGTAGGAGGTTGTAGAAAATTGCACAATAAAGAGCATCATAACTTATACTGTTTGTCAAATGTAATTAGAATAATAAAGTTAAGGAGGATGAGATGGGCATGGCATGTAGTATGCATGGGAAGAAGAGGAATACAGTAGGATTTTGATGGAAAGAGACCACTAAGAAGACATAGATGTAGGTGAGAGGATAATATATCCCTGTAACAGACCATGGAGGTCCTTAGGCCATTTATTTAGTTGCATACAAATTAGAAGTACAGACCACCATACTTCAGTAATTATGAAGCACTTAATCAGAACTGCATTGTTATACTCAGTAGTGTGTGTTTGACAGGATGGCAGGATGACAGGACTTGAAATATGATTTTTGAGCTTCTCATGGCAGCCACTGTGAAGATTACTGTCTTCATAGGTGTGGCACCAAGTATTCTGGTGGATATTCAGTGAAGTTTTTGAGGAACTTGGGCATGGCACATTCCTCCAAAATGTCAGCCAGACTACACAGCATTACATGACAGAAGTCAGTCGTCTTCAGGCCTCAGAATGGCTGAAGAACAATGCCCTGCTAGCAGACAGCAACATTTTAACATAAAAGGCAACATATGGGATTATTCCGTGGTGGCCTGATAAAGAATTCCATTTATATGGGTAGATGATAGCCGTGAATTTGTTGATGTACTGTATGTATAATTTAAATTTATTGTGTGTACTTTTAATGGTGCAGTGCAATTGGTAAAACTCATATTATTGTAAGTTTTGTTATTATTATAAATCAGGTTGTACTTCAGAAATAGAGGCTGAGGTACTGCTTTACCACGACGTTCAAACTTACTCTGTCCTGATGCTTGTGGTCCAGTCTGTTTACATGATCTGTCTGTGTACAGCATATGCATTAAGTACACTAACAATGGCCAAGAACATTTTATTTCACCATTTTCCATTGGTGTGACAAAACATTAAACATTAAATCAATACAAAGTCCGTCGAGTGTAACAATGTTTTTTAGGTCACGTCTTTCTCACTCCTGCCTTACATGTTTCGGTTTTAGTAAAACCATCTTCATAGGCACATGGTACTAACAAGAAAACACTGGCGTTGTTTCACTGTACACAGTATATATGCTGTGTGGGCACTGCTACAAATGTTGATGTGTAAAAGCACAACACTAGCTTGGAGTACTGAATGCACGTACAGAATGCACGTTCAACCTTCGGNTAAAACATTAAACATTAATTTTGTAGTCATTTGTACTGACATAACAAGTCAGTATGTTTCAGTTATGGTGGATGAATTATACATAGTTTAGTGACACTGTCAACTGCAGAGTCAGTTTAAAATTAAGTTATAGGTTGTGTTCATTGAACATGAAAGGATTGGCCTGTCTTAAGGTACTGTTCTGGAATTCAAGTGGAAGGACTGAAGAAAATACAAAACACCTTAACACTTCGTGGACCAGACACCTAGGCCTAGGCATTTGGGTTTTAAACGTGGCAGACCGTGGCAGACTTATTAAAACTTCAACTTCAAATTAAAATGTCTTTAAATTTTCCATTCTTTTCCAAATTTTAAAAATTAAAATTTCTCGGTGTACTCGCCCTATGTCTATAGTGCTGCAGCGGCCACTTCTTGTTTTATCGCTGTTCAGGTATTGTTCTGTGTAGGCTCTCTGTGCGTGTGCCGCAGTCTATCTTTAATACGTATTAAAGATAGACTGCGGCACACGCACAGAGAGCCTACACAGAACAATACCTGAACAGCGATAAAACAAGAAGTGGCCGCTGCAGCACTATAGACATAGGGCGAGTACACCGAGAAATTTTAATTTTTAAAATTTGGAAAAGAATGGAAAATTTAAAGACATTTTAATTTGAAGTTGAAGTTTTAATAAGTCTGCCACGGTCTGCCACGTTTAAAACCCAAATGCCTAGGCCTAGGTGTCTGGTCCACGAAGTGTTAAGGTGTNAAAGACTGTGGCCTCCACAGTCTTTCGATTTATCTCCTTGTGACTTTTATTTGTGGGGCACAATGAAGGAAAAATTGTGTATGAACAATCTGGAGAAACTTCAAGTAAATGTTGGGCACAGAATTTCAGCTATTCCCATACAGTAGCTTCAGTATGTGGTTAGAAACATGTTCTCACGAAGTGAGGAATGCTTAGAAACAGTCACTTCAAGGCTCTTGTATAAAGTAATATGATTTAAACTAAAACAGAAAAGCGAGCTGTAAATTATTGTCTACTGCAGCATGTCTGTGCGAGAAGAGTACCATGTCAGCTGCGGTGAGCAGTGTAAGGATAATTCCTGTACTTGTGAGCAGTCTTGCTTAGTTACAGGCTGGTATTGTCACTCAGTATGGTATACATATATGCCAAAGTGGTATCTGCATGAATACAGTGGTGATAAATTAACTTTCATAAGTACAACAATAGAATTTGCTGAACAGAATAGCTGATGCATATGTAAAACTGTTTCATGCTTATTTCATATTCTCAGGGCTTTTGGAATTAGCTCATCGTGAATATCAGGCAGGTGACTATGAAAATGCTGAGCGCCATTGCATGCAGTTATGGCGCCAGGAATCAAATAATACTGGAGTTTTGCTGCTGCTTTCTTCCATACACTTTCAGTGCCGTCGACTTGACAAGTAAGTTTGCATGTACTCAATTTTCACTGATATGTATTATTGACTTATTGACTTAATTCAGAGCAGGATGCCGATGACACCCTTCAGATTTTTTAAGCCTCTCATGGGAGAAGAAAAGATGTTATTTTATGCAGGATGGTTTTACAGTGCACACTGATAATTATTCCATTAATGTTGTAAACAAAGTATTTGAGGCGGACTTGCTAATGAGGTTGGCTAGTATTTGCTGTTGTAATTTATTAGTCTTCATTTCTTAAGTTACAAAGAAAGGCAGGTTCCACTTATCATGTCATGTTTGTCTTTCCTAATGACATTCAAACCATTTGACAGATGTTCATGAAATGTCATGTGAACATCTTGCTATTGGAGGACTCCCCCACCTTTCTGTTTCTTAATTTCCCACCCTTATAACTTCAGTATTTCAGCTGTGTGAACAAATGAAGTGAGAGCAGCCCTTAACCCCTGCCATGTCATATAAAGTATATTATGCACTTGAAATTTTCCATTCCATGCAATTTCCAACACATTCCTGGGTCACCTTCCTGCCTCTTCTTGTAATGCACAATGTATTCTGCAGTCTGCCGTTTACAGTGCTCTTATTTTAGTTCTGTGGTGGCAGGAGTGTAGCTTATTTGCCCAGTGTACTGATATGGGTGTATAAATGCAGTACAGTTTGAAATTTTGGCAGGAAAAGTGAACAGATCGTAGGAATTTGGGTACATTTTTGTAATTGGAATGGTTAGTTTATGGTTCTGACATATGTATGATACTGGATTTTTTAAAAATATTGTCTGTAACAACGGTGGTGACAACAACAACAACAACAACAACAACAACATGGTGACTACAGTGTCTCCTTTTGCTTTCTGGTTTGATAATTAATGAACCAATGGCAATAGGCATGTGTGTTATTGTATGGACATTACATTATAAACACACCTACAATTTCTGTATGAAACATTGTGTATGTTAACAGTTACAAATATGGTGAAAATTCAAAATGTTGATTTTATAAAGGGGCACGAGGTAGTGTAGTTGATTGAGACACTATTCTACAAGCTGGAAGGTTGCGGGTTCAATTCCCGATGTCATCGGATTTTTCAATTGACTAATGCTTCTAGCCACACTATGACCTTGGGGTCGACTCAGTCTCTAGCAGAAAAGAGTACCAGGAATCTTCCTGGGGGTAAAGGGCGTCTGGCATGTAAGTCTGACAACCTTACTGCCATCTGTGATCCAGTTGTCCACAAAATGTGAGAGACTCAATATCTCACAATCCTCTTGGCCTACTTTGCCTGTTACATTGATAGTTTTACATTTTTTTATATATATTTGGACAGTTTAACATAGACATAGGCACTGCACTAGTAAAAACTATACAAGGAAATGAATCACCAATTCCATGGGTCTGGTTCCTGCTTCAGAAGATAATAGTTGCTCAGCTACTGAAAATATTCCCAGCATTTTATGGAACTGTAGGTTCATTAACATGTTCACAAGTGACTGTTACTGGCCCCAGTCATGAGTCAGATGAGTTGAGTTCACACCTCCCCCCTCCCATCCTAATTCTTTAAGATCCATTTTAATATTATCCTCACAAGTATGACCTGGTCTTCCTAGTGGTCTCTCTCCCTTCGGGTTTTCCTTCTAGAGCTTCGGATGCACTTCTGTCCCATGCATGCTACATGCATTGTCGATCTCACCCTCCTAGATGTTATCGGTCTGTTAATATTTGGCAAGGAGTATAAATGACAATGGTCAGTGATGCTGTTTTATCCAGCATCCAGTTACTTTGTCACCCTTAGATCAAAAAATTCTCCTCAGCACCCTGTTCTCAAAAATTTGTAAGGATCAGCACAAGGTTTGAAGCACCAAAATGAAAGTAGGTATCATAATATATTCCCAGAACTTCTTGTCAAGGTTGTCTCATTCAGCATTCGATTTTTTTTTATTCTTGGTCTTGTGTTAAAATATTTCCAGAAATTGGTTGTCCAGTGTGGGCTCTTGACTGCCCTAGAAGTACCCTAGGCATGAGTGAAATCTGCTTTATTTTATTTAATACAGAGGGGTCCAAAAAATATACTCACTCTTTGATAGTCAATATCTTTGGAACAAAATGACCCGTAGTTACAATTCTTGCGCAGAAAGAGAGAGAGAGAGAGTCATTGTATGTGTTCGAAGTGACCACCATCAGTTGCTAAACAGCATCGATGCCGCTGAACTGCTGAGCAAACTACGGCTGTCAATGTGTCTGGTGTGATGGCTGCACACGACGCTTCAATGGTTTCTCGTAGTGCATTCAGTGTAGCTGGCTTTTGTCAATAAACTTCATCCTTCAAGGTTCCCCATAGGTAGAAGTCGAGAGGTGTTAGGTCTGGAGACCGTGGTGGGTACTCAATAGCACCTCTTCAACCTATCCATCGTCCAGGTAGTGTCATCCAAGTACGCCCTGACATCTCGATGGTAGTGAGGTGGAGCACCATCTTTTTGTAGGTAAAATCTCTCATCTCCAAACAGCTCTCGAATGGCAGGGAAAATCGATGTCGGAAGCATATTGAGATACACCTGGCCAGTCACGGTACCTTCAAAGAAGAAAGGACCAATCAAACCGCGCGATGACAGACCACACCACACATTAACACCCAGTAGAGTCACTTCCTTGCCCACGTGAACGTGTGGATTTACAGGAGCCCAATACACACAATTGTGGTAGTTAATAGTACCATTCATTCTGAATTGCGCCTCGTCAGACCAGATAATTTTCCCTGCAAACTCCTCATCCTTGCAAACCATGCCTTGAAACCACTCACGGTATTCAAGCTTTCGATCTGGGTTGTCTTCATTCATGGTGTGCAGCAGTCTTGGAATGTACACTTTCCACTTTGCAGCCTTCAGAATTTCGCTGTTGAGAAAACATTACACTACACTACTGTGCAAGAATTGTAACTACATGTCATTTTGTTCCAAAGATATTGACCATCAAAAAGTTAGTACATTTTTTTGGACCCCCCTGTACTTAAATGATCATTAGCAGCCTTCCACCAGTTCCACACCATGTAGCCTTTATAGTTGACAAGGTATTGTTAAATTGAAACTGATGGTTTCCTCTTGCTGAATATGTGCCATTAGAAACATTTCATGGAAATTAGTGTTTTTTATTAAGAGTATTCCAGTGCAGCTGAAGTTAAGCTTTATTTATTGAGATCTTTCTTGACATATAGTGACTTATTTAAGGGACATAACTCAGGTTTATGTCAGTAATTTGTTTACTGCCACAAAAAAATGCTGTAGTGTAAAGCCTTTGTAAACATATGTTTAATTTCCTACCCCATTTCATTCAGGAAATACACCGTATAAACCTTGCCCATCTGGAGGTGACCTTGGGAATATTCCAGTGTGGCCATGTTGCATGGCATTGCTTCACCGGTACCCTCCCCCCCTCTACCTAGAGACCAGACAGACTTTATGCAAAGAAGCTTGTTATTTCTGTGGAGTTTGCAGTTAGGCAGCAAGCTTCTTGTGCTGGTGTCATGACAGAGTCATTTCACATGAATTATGTATTCTTAGATTCAAACAATGGAAGAGGTATGTGCTTATTACTTTCCCCCCTCTTTGACCCTCCTCATCTTAATGAAAACAAATTTTAAACATCTGTTTTAGTCTTCTGAACTATTATGTTCCTATTAATGTATTTTAAACACAGATACAGAAATAATATGGTGTGTGCACATATATACTGTATAAATGAATTTAATGTTATCTTTGTGCTACACATATAGCATCTCTGAAATTGTGTTTCCTTTTTGAACATTCCCCCAGTAATCTCATGTGAAACACTGATCATTGAACAGATGGAAGTCAATTTAATTGCATGATTCCTGATAACTTAAGGACTATGTTTATCATCAGGTCTGCACACTTCAGCACACTGGCCATCAAACAGAATCCACTACTGGCAGAAGCATATAGCAACCTCGGGAACGTTTACAAAGAGCGTGGACAGTTACAGGAAGCTTTGGAGAATTACCGCCATGCTGTACGACTGAAACCAGATTTTATAGATGGTTACATCAATCTGGCTGCTGCATTGGTGGCTGCTGGGGATATGGAACAGGCAGTTCAGGCCTATGTTACAGCTTTGCAGTACAACCCGGTAAGTCCACGTATTTGCATATTTGCCTTACTTCTATTCATGGTTCATATTATTGGAGGGTAAGTGTTTTGCCAACATTTTGGAGCCCTTGGCTGTACCTGTGCTCAGGCTGAAATGACTAAACAGTGGCCCAGCATGGATATGTATAGTTGTGGGTAATGATGCACCACACATGAAATATTTATCCCACTAAAACTGTTTCTCTTGCTGCAAAGTAACATTGATTGTGCTGTTCGGCACATATCTTTGCAAAGGTCTCTAACTGTCAAGAATAAAATATACTGGCATCTGCTTGTATATGTAAAATCCAAATTTTTGCTAATAATAGAACATCACCACACATTCATAACACATTACATACCCTTGACAACTGCAAAATTGCAAGACATGTACTGTGTGTTACGCGCTTTGCAAAATTTGTTATATGTGCATGTGTACAGAAATATCCCTTTAAGGATGAAATTTCCAGTGCCTCCCCCCCCCCTACACGCAAAAGTTGCTTTTGCAAATACTGTCATTACTTGTGGCTTGCTCCGTTATATAGTGGAGCCAGTTTTTGTGTATGACTGCCTTAAAACAGATCTTTGCAGCCTAAAACAATTCCATGTAGGTATAGTGGCCATTAGTTTTCAAAAGGATAGGAGTATGCTTAACCTTGATAACAGTCAAAAGTGACCTTGAAATATGTATTTGTAACATATCTTTTGGCAATCATCCATATACTGCACATTGAACTTGAACTTATGCCTCTTCTAAGATTCTGCATACGATTGGTTTTATACATTTTATTCTCTTTTATAAACGGCTTAATGAGGGATATTAGTACACCTTTCATAAAGTACTTAATGCAATCCCTAAAAGTCTTGAAACGTTTACATAGTTATATTACTAGCAAATTTGCCTGGTGTTGTCTGGATATAATGCACGTGTATAAGAATAAAAAATATATAATAAATCTAGCAACAGTAGAAGATACTTCGAATTTTCCTCCACATCCTATTAATGGCATAAGATAGTTTGGGTTTTCCCATTTTTCATATCAACAGGAGAAGATATTTTGCGTATTGTCCTGTATCCTAGCAATGATTCCATTGTCATGATCCAAATGCCCTTCTGACAGAGGAAGTATTATTTAAATAAATTAGCTTGGACTTAAAACCATACACATTTTCAAGTGTCTGACGCCACCTCATCTCATTTATTTACATTCCATAAATCCACTACATATAGGATAAGGAATTAGTCATTGATAGTACAAATAACAATATAAGATTCATTACATTATTCAATACCATAATAGATCACAGTTAATTATTGGAGTCAAATTTACAATCAAAGTATTCTTCCAAGGAATAAAATGAGTTCATCAACAAAAATCTTCTTAAAACAATTTTAAAATGTTTAGCCAGGTTCCTTATATTAGGAGGAAGCCAATTAAAAAACCTTAATTCCTTGGTAGTACACTCCTTTCTGAAATACAGCCAACTTACATATAGGATAATGGAGTTTATTATTACATCTTGTATTCCTATTATATAACTCAGAATTTAACTTAAATTTATCTTTATTATTAACCACGAACATTGCAAGAGAAAATATATACTGAGATTGAAGGGGTAAAATTTCCAGTTCCCTGAACAATTCCCTACATGAATCTCTGTTCCTAGAGTTCATTATAATTCTAATCGCCCTTTTTTGCAACCTGAAGATATGTATACTATGAGGGGAATTTCCCCAAAAAACCAAACCGTAGGTCATAATTGAATAGAAGTAAGAAAAGTGAATCATTCTTAATGTACCCTGAGACATGTAGGATTTTAGGGCTCTAATCGCATAATATGCAGAGCCCAATCTAGACATTACCAATCCACATGTCCATTCCAAGACAATGTGTTATCAATAATAAGCCCCAGAAACTTAGTATTTGTAGTGTTAACATTCCGATCATCATCATCATCAATATGAATATCCATCGGCTCACGGTTCTTAGTCAAAAATTCGATAAAATGTGTTTTCTCAAAATTTAATGTCAGTTATCTTGAAACCAATCATTTATGTTTTTAAATATTAAAGAAGCCTTGAATTCATAATCAGCAGACCTAGGGTTAGTAATGACTATGCTAGTATCATCAGCAAAAATAATGGGTTTGGACTTGTTCGATATGATACAGGGCAGGTTATTTATATACAACAAAAAAGAACAAAGGACCCAGAATCGAACCTTGGGGGACTCCGTTTTTAATTTTCCCCCATTCTGCATACTTCAGACCGTTATTCACAACAACTCTCTGATGCCTATCAGCAAGGTATGACTTAATCAAAGCACCAGCCTTATCAGCCTCACCATAAAATTCCAATTTCGATAGTAATATATCGTGATTGACACAATCAAAGGCCTCTTTGAGATCACAAAAGGTACCACCAACAAACATACCATTGTTCAAAGCATTTAATACTTCATTAACTAGTTCAGTCGATGATTTACTCCTAAAACCATACTGATCTTTAGCTAGTATATTATTATTAAGTACATGTCGGTGCATTCTTATATAAATAATCTTTTCAAAAACTTTGGAGAAAGATGTCATTAATGATATCGGTCTGTAATTAGACATATTGGTTTTATCTCCATTTTTGAATAATGGCTTTATTACTGAATATTTTAATCTGGTGGGAAAAACACCAGTTACAAAGGCTCTGTTACAAATATAGGCTAGTGGAGAACTAATAAATGGTGCAGTGCATTTTAAAATTTTAACCGAGATCTCATCATATCCATTAGAGGATTTGGGTTTAAAGGACCAAATTACCCTTTCAGTTTCCTTATAAATAGTGTGATTTAAGTGAATTTTAGGGAATGGTCGAATGAAGGCTTGATTCATATATTTTGCATGATTATCTGAATCAGTCCCAATAACATGTCCATTCATTACCCTTTTAATATTATCAGCTATAGTTAGAAAGTATTTCTTTAAAGACTCAGCAATCATCATGTGATTGTCCGTAAGTTTCCCATCTATCTTTAGAAACTGTATATCCACCTTATTAATATTCCTACCAAATATTGATTTTATAACCTTCCAAGTGGCTTTGGCTTTGTTATTAGCATTAGAAATCAGACCATTATAATACCATTTTTTAGCTGTTCTAATAACACTAGACAAGATTTTGCAGTAATTTTTATAATAGGCTTTTAAATGAGGATCATTATTATTCCTCATGATTATATATGTCTCTTTTATGCTGACGTGATGATACCTTGATACCTTTTGACATCCAGGGATTATATTTAGAATCGGTCTTAATTGGTTTTTTTAGGGAAATTGGAATAAAAAATTTGTGAATAAGTATTTAGAAAGGAGTTAAAGATTGTATCTACGTCATTAACAGTAAAGACATCATTCCAAGTTTCGTAACTTCATTGAATTGCAAATTCCTTCATGGAAGATGAACTGAAGATTCTTACAAATTGCAGAGGGCTACTACAAGTTTGTAAGTTAATGTTGTTCATATACAAAAATTGACCATCATGATCAGATAGGCCATTTATAAGAGCATATATGGTGTAGTTTCCCATTCTACTAAAATCCACAAGAATATTATCAATTGCAGATGCAGAACCATTACAAATTCTCGTATGAAAGTACACTGTATTAAAAAGATTAAAAGAAGATAGTAGAGCATCTAGTTGCTTCCTCCTGTTATTATAATCAAGATAGTTAACATTAAAATCACCACAAACAATAAATTCAGAACTCGTATTATACAATGACTTTAAAACATTCTCAATACCATTTAAAAAATAAGAAAAATCTCCAGTTGGAGCTCTGTATATGGCTAAAACATAAATATTAACAGATGGAATTAGAAGTTTGACTGCACATATCTCTAGATCCTGATCTCTACAAAAAGCATTTAAATTCACATTTAGATAGTTAATTGAGTCACGTACAAAAATGCATACACCTCCTTGCCTGATAGATTTCCTACAGTACTCGGCACCCAGATTATAATGTTCAGTATAGGTATGACATAAATTCGTATACTCAAGGTGATGTTCAGATAGACATAGCAAGTGTGGGGATCGGGGATACAGTGCACTTATAATTTCATTATTTTTCTCCTTTAAACCACGGATATTTTGATGGAAAATACTCATCAAATTATTATTCTTAAGGCATATTTTAGTCCTACTAGCCAAGGAATCTGAGTAGGCATTTAAGTGTTCCATAAAAAATCATTATTTCTAGTTATTGGTAGTTTCGTATTGCGTTTAATGCTGTGCTGAGTTGAAGTCTGTGTCGAAGAGGACTTGTCAATTGATGGAACGACCAGTTGAGTTACCTTATCGTACATTCCAGGATTGTAGGCTTAACCTTAACTCTTTCCAACAATAGAAATATCTGGGAGACTAACTGATTAGAAAATATTTCCTTGCTTAGTATATTTAAATGAGAGCCGTATTTGGTGTATAACAATCTGTTGTTGATCAGTTCACTCATAGATACATGACTAAAGATTTTGGTCAATTTACCCAACTTATTGTTGAAGAAATTTATGGCATCATTTAACTGTGAGCAACCAGCAGCGTCATATCTAAGAGGAACGCCTATTAGAATTACATTGGTGTGTCTAATATTCTTAATAAAATTAACAATATTCCTGAATGCTATTCTTGTATCACTCTTACTAATGTCATTAGATCTACTACTTATTATAAAAAATCATTTTTAGTTAACTTGTCCACTTCATCACTCATTGTTCCACTTAAAGAGTTTGTGCAAGAACCTGGCTTAACTACACCACAAACTTCAAAACGGTCATCCATAGAAGTCAACATCCTCTCAGCACACCCTCTCACGTGGCTATCCCCAATAATTAATATTTTATGCTTGAGACCCCCTATATCTTTGGTTTTATTTTCACTCATTTTCACTTCCGATTCTATCACTAGTTTGCTAGCATAATTCCCCTTAATAGTAATATTGTCACTTGCAGGA